TGAGGAGAAGCTCATATATAAGTGGAGTGTGGAGGGTTTTTTTGACATTGGCTATAATAAATATCAGCACATTTAGAAAAAAAAAAAAAATTGTGGGCTAAAAGGGAGGAAAAAAGCTACAGCTGAGTGTGGTTCACTAGAAGGAAATACCCAAAGCTGTTGAAACATTAAATAAAAAACTGATCTTGAAATGTCAGGAATCAGTAAGGATAACAACTGTCAATTTTGTCCAATAAAACCTCCCTTTTATTTTGCCTACTTTTCTCTTTTATTTTTAATAGCTATCCATTAAAAATGCTGCCCTCACAATTTGCTGGTATTTGCTGCTCTGTTTTAATGCTGTCTATTAGTTCTTCCCTCCTTTCCTTTTAATATTTACACATATCATCAAATGCTGGGCAAAATTTCTCTGCTGGAAAAAAAAAATCCCATGAGTGTAAAGCAATTGCAAATAACTTGCTACTGAGGGCATGGCTGGGCTTTCTGTGCTGCTCCAGTGTCCCATTGAGTTTCAAGTAGCTGAGGACACTTTTATATTAGAAATAATCCATGTTAGTATCATGTGGTGCATTGTTATTTCTCAGCTTCATCAGAAAATAGCACAACTGTCCTAAAAAAATTAAAAAAAATCAAGTTATGCCTTAATAAATAACTGATAATGAGGGTGCTGAGAAAAAATTGTGGCTAGGAAGATCAGTTTGACATAAGCTACTCCAGCCTGAAGGATTCCAGCTGGAAAAGCCCAGTTTAAAATTCTGACACTTCCTCCATTTCATGTGCACTCAGCAATGCTCATGCAGCTCAGATAATCCGTGCCTGTACTTCATGTATGGCGTGGCAAATGCCAGCAGTGTATGGAAAACAGGATCCAGGCTGCAGCAGAGCAGCCAGAACGGGATGAAGGGGGCTCAGCAGCACCTGAGCCTTGGGCTGAGCTCTCCCAGGGCAAACAGGACCCTCCAGCAGCCAGGGGACCTCTGCAGGGGCTTGAGGGGGACAGGACAACCCCAAGCATCCAATTTGGGGACCCTTTGGAGCGAGGCTGAGCTGTTGGTACAACAGCAAGAGAGGTTGTGGTCCCCAAAACAGCCCTGGGACAATGTGACAGGGATTTAACTGAAATAGCCTCCTCCAGAACAGGGCTAGAGGTAAATTCCAGCTGATGACTCTGTTCCTCTGTCTGTGTTTGATAAATTAATTAAGGAACAGAGAGGGAATAAGAAAAGTGAAGCCTCATAAACTGCTTCACTAACTGCTGCACAGAGAAGACTCTCAATTCTCGTTTTCCTCTATCAAAAACACTAACATTTCTTCTTCTTCAATTATTTCTAATATAGAATCCCAAGAATATTTGAAAGGCTCTCTAAAAATAAAAGGGGGAAGGCGAAGCTCAATACTGAATATGAAGAAACTATAGAAATCTCATGGGGACAAGGAGAGGGGTCATTGGAGCAGGGAAGGAGGTTAAGCTGAGCTTTGAGCCCAGTCCAATGGCATGAGCCTCTCATGGCCTGTGGGAGTGTTTCTGCCCGGGGCCACTCTCTGTGTGCTGCAGAGCTCAGCTCTGTGCTCTGCACAGCCCAGCACCCTGGCCTGCCCTAAATCCCAGGGTTCCCATGTTCCACTGAGGAGCACGGCAGGGAGAGCCATGGGATGTTCCTTCTGAGCCCTCCTGGAGCATGGGGCTGGCAGCTCTGGCACCCAGGAGATCCCAGCAGGCATCAATGATCCCACCAGGGGTATCAGCACACCCTGCTGGGCTTCCCAAGGCTTCTCCTGGCAGCTGGATGCCATCCCTGCGTGCCCAGCAGGGCTTTGGGGCAGAGATGCAGCTGGAGCTGCATCCAAACCCTCCCCACACTCAGACCCAGCACCCCCAAACTGCTCCTGACCTTACCAAGCCCAGCCAGCTGGGAAGCAGCAGCTCCCACTTGCAATAATTTCAGCAGAGCTGCCCTCCTCTTGCACTATTTATTGCTTTTGCCCTTGCCATGGCTTGCTGGAGACAGAGACACTATTAAAGCTCAGAATATTTCTTTCTGGACAGTCAGGGCGAGCTTTGGGGGCAAACTCCCTATTTTCTCTCCAGCACTGCCCCTTCTGCTGGTTAGGGCAAGGCAGGACAGGGGATGGTTCCCACTGCAGGCTGCCTGGAGCACTCCGAGCCTGCTGAGCAGTGACTGCAGCAGGGGAACGCTCTCCTCTGGTGGAACAGAACCTTGTGAGGATATTTCTGCACGGTACAACAATTGCCCAAGCATCACCTCTAAGTTGGGTCTCCTCCCTTATTCTCACAATAAGAAGGGAAAGGTGCATTTCAGTGATGACCGCTGAGGCTGGCAAGAGGCAGCCAAAGGGCACCTGCCAGCTCCCACCCTGCTGACAGCATCCCCACAGCTCCAGGATGGGCTCTGGCAAGGAGATAGCTGGCTTGCCAATAATAATAATTATCATTAATAAGCGAGTGACGTCCTAATCTTGGTTACATCAGCCGTGCCCTTCCCCGGAGCCGCTGCCAGTCACACTCACACCGAGCACAGACAAGGGCCGGGAGCTGCTGGGGCTGGAAGGGGATACACGGGATGGCCCGCGGTGACTTCTGCCTCCCGGCTGAGGGGACAAGGGACACGGCCTGGACAAACCCCGGCAGAGCCGCTTCTCTGTGGCATTTGAGTCTCCTCAGCCCTCCGGGAAACTGCGGGGACATAAAGGATGGGAAGGGAAGGGAGATGCGAGGCCGTCCCCTCCTTCCTCCTCCTCCTCCCCCGGGCATCCCACGGGGCTGTCCCGTGTCACAGCCGGGCACAGGGGTGTCCGTGTGTCCTGCGGGATGTCCGTCCGTCCCCGCAGAGCTCCCCGCTCCGCATTCAGAGCCATCCCTGCCCTGTGCCAGCCCCTCCGCACAGCCCGACGGCAGCAGCCCTGGCGAGGAAAACGAGCGAAATTCGGGGGCCTTTGGCAAAGTTGCGAGGTCAGGGCTCCCCCGCGCCCCCCGACCCTGCATCCATGGGGAAAGGGGGGCTGCCCCCCAAACCCAGCGGGGTTTGCTCCCTCCTTAGGTGCCTTTCCTGAGTCGCTGCCGAGCCCGCCAAGGTGCGAGCTTGTTGCAAGAACAAACTGTTGTGATTCCCCCTCCGGCCCTTTTTCCCCGCCTCCCCCCGGTTCCGAACGGGGGGTGTCGGTGCACGGAGCCCGCCGTACCCCATGTCGCTCCCGCGTCAGAAAATGAATGATGCAGCAATTTAATTAGGAGCGAGCGGTGCGTCCATATTGCACCGGCGGAGGAGAGCTCGGCAGCCGGGGGAAG